TGGGTATAATATTCATTATTAAACTCGAATGTGTTTCTTTTCAGAATGATTTCAAGGTTTTTAATTTTATATTTCAAAGGTAGTGGACTTAGTATACATTGATGCGACATCCATGGTTACTAGGACGTTATTTTCAGATACTTGTATTTTTTCGATTTTGTTAATAAAATCAGTAGTATCTGTGATGTATGTATGTTGCTTTTAACGATTGGAATTAAAAAGTAGTCAATCAATTTTGATATTTGTAGTAGAAAGTCGTGCTGACTATTTTGATATTTTAAGTTTATTGAATGTTTCAAAATTTGCACGTTTTTTCAATGCACAACTAGTTTTTGCGGTCGGCATACAATGGATGTAAGCTATTAAAACAGCGTGCAAAGTGAGTGCAAAGTTGGTAGATTTGCGTGTATATTTGAACTAAGTTGTTGTCATATCTAACTGTGAAGTTTTGAAAAGTAAATAAAATGCAAGTGAAATCCCCGTATATTAGTGCCATATGAGCTGACTGTAACATGTTCTAAAACAGCCTAAATTGATATGAAAAGCATTTGAAAAGTTGGTGGGTTTGCTAACATATTTTACCTACGTCATAGTTATATCGACCCCGCAGTTAAAAATATAGATAAAATTAGCAAATATGTTAGAAAAGCCATTATATTGGCAGATTATACCACTATCAAAGCGTAAAATGATTGAAAAGTTGGCAAATTACATGGAAATGTGAACTATGTTTTATATTACAGAGAACCATCGTTAAAAGTTCGAAAATGTAAATAAATATGTCGTATATGACCGTTTATTATCGTACCGACTGCTGACGCACGTAGCGGTCACAGGTCAGCTTTCGAAAGATACAAGTGCAAACGAATGCAGTTTTGAAACATTTCCAAACATTAAATGGCTGCCAATTTGAATAAAATTCAAATGACCCTAAGAGCCGTGTGATCAGGTGATCGACCTGTCACAAAAGTTAAGATCAATCGGGCGTTGCTAGTAATTGCATGGGAGACTACTTTGGCAAACAATCTGGTACAATACTTTTTCTGCTTCGTCACAAACATGAAAAAGACATAAATCATTTTTTTTTGTATAGTAGAAAGTCGTGCTGACTATTTTGATACTATTTTACCCAAGCAAGAATAACGAGCATGCAAATAATTGTTTGCTATATTTTCACTCTGTGAAATACACACGTACCATATCTATTTCATCCCATTTTCAGTCAAAAATCATCTTTTTCAACTGAAAATCCACATTTCTCAGCTGTCTTAAATAGTTCTTGTAGATGTTTTCGTTGGTACTCACCCACATTCACTCCGTTATCTTAAAACAAAACTGTTTAAAATATCCTGATGACTTCTTCCGTGTTGCATATCTACCGGTGCTCTTTTGACTTTTTATATTTATGTCCTACCCTCGCCCTTTTATAGGTATGTTATGCGCAAATAAAATTACATCGCATCTGACGGGAATTCGGAAATCGTGAATTCATTAAAACAAATTTTTACTCGTTACATTGATATCTGTTCATGTTTCACACTGCTGAATGTGCCATTAACTGTGTAGTTCCTCTATGGTATTTCGATGTATTTTCGACAGCAAACGATGTACTAGTACAATGTACAAAAACGTATGCTAATGAGTATTATTAAGCACATATTGCATGGCCATGAGGGCGCTGGTATACGCCTATTTCCCCGAGGGGTTGTGGGGTACCAACAATACCTGCTATTGTTGGTAATCCACAACCCCGAGGGGAAAATAGACTTATACTAGTGTCCGAATTATGCCATGCAATATATGTTTTATAACGCATTACACGTTCATACTAGGAACGTGCATAGATCGTCTGCC